TTGAATGGGATGGGAAAATGCGTTAAAAATTAAGTTTTTGTGTTGAATGTTTTGGAGAGCCATGATGGCTGTCAGGTAAGACAGAAGAAATCAACGAGAAAATTAGTTCAGGAGAGTAAGGTGAATTTGGTTCTGGATGGCATACTGATTACTTTTTTCATCAGACACACTTGAGGGAGGGAAGGGTTATCCTGGATCCTGGTTTGAGGGGACACAATGCATCATGGAGGGAAGACATGGTAGCTGGGGCTCTGTCCATGGTGTCTGAAGCCTGTGATATAGTCTGTTACATCCTGGCAGACCAGGAGACATTGGGGAGAAACAAAGGCCTCAGAACAGGTGTCTCAGTGACACACTAGGAAGGCCTCATCTTCTGAAGGTTTCAAAAGCTTCCCAAACAGTTCCATCAGCAAGAGACTAGGTGTTCAAACACAGTGAGGGACACTTCACACTACGCTTTAACTCATAAGACAGCCTTAACGGCAGGATATTCATTTAGAAACGACCTAGGAGACCATCTCAATGGAAACAAAGCAGTTCAGCGGAGCAAGGCTGAGGTTCTGTTATAATTCGCTCACTTCAGCAAACACACAAAGCGCTAGCTGCTTGTAGGAATCCAGAGTTCAGTCGATAGGGCATGGATGACTGTGTAGCCCAGTGAGAAAAACAGAGAAGCCAAAACGAAATTCAGTCTCACGAAACCGTGTGCAGAAGAGACAATATGCTGACCAAGTGAACTAGACAGGCCCTGCTCCCCTGTGCACACTTCCTACCTGAGCAAACCAGATTGTCCCAGAGAAAGCAACACAGATGGCTCCTGGTGTTTAACTTTCTGACCCTGTGTCTTGTTACTGTGGCCACAAGTATCAGGACTCAGGATTGGAGCCCAAAGGAAGGTTAGTAGTCTTTTAGTTAGATATACGGATGGCCAGATACCCATTAGAAAAACTGCCCCACAGAGTGTCTCTCCTTACTGCTCAGTGAGTGACAGACGTAGTATAGGCAGATCCTCTTCAGGTAGTCTTGAACGTGTCATAGAGAGTGGAACCTAGACAGCAATACAAGAGTTATGTGAAGAAGCCCAGACAGGCTGGTTCATGGGTAGAATTACCAGAGTTCAGGGAATAGGTGCTTCCTAAAGAAGGACGAGTGAGGCTTTGGACCCCACCACTGAACTGCAAAAGGTACAATCATTCTTGGATTGAACTAACATTTTCTGGCTAAAGATATGATTTTTGTTTTTCTCTTTTTCTTTGTTTCCCTTCCTTCCTTCCTTCCTTCCTTCCTTCCTTCCTTCCTTCCTTCCTTCCTTTCTTTTTGATATAGTCTGTGTATCCCAGGCTTGCCTTACTCTCATTATCTCCCGTTTAGTCACTGGGATTAAGAGGAACGTAGCTGATAGTATTTCGTCAGATGTCCTTATTTAGAATACATTTCGGACATCTGTGGTGTAGTCTCCTAGCATTTCACACCTTCTAAAGTCCCAAGAAAACACATGATACTCCTGTTTTGTTGATGTTTGTGGCTTTTTTGTTTGTTTTTTGTTTTGGTTTTTTGGCGGGGAGCGGGTTGATTCTATCTGCAGAAGAGGATGCTCCACTGAGAAAGAGACCAGTTGATCCTCAGAAGACAGATCAAAAGGCTATGTGCATGTGTAACTAACTTTCCGGAAGAGCCCAACAATAGAGAGCAGAGGCCCCAGTTAAGCTTGCAGCAAGCCCTGGGTACCATTTATGCTTGTTGTTATTCTTTCTTCTTTTCCTATTGTGATCCCAGTGCCTGCCTATGTCCACATACTCAGGAAGCCTGCGGAAACAGGCAGATAGGTAGACTCTGTAGTGCAGCCACCAGACTTGGGGAAAAGCCTCCCCAGAAGATAGATGTAGAAAGAACGGCTGTCAAGAGTATCAGTGTGCTAACTGCCAGGTTGGGATCTCTTGATTTGTTAAAAGATTTCTGATCTATCTCACACCAACTGTATGGCATACTTGGATGGGGGAGAGGGGCTAGGAATTTGAATTATGCAAGCATGGCAGATGATTCTGGAGCCATTGTAAACTCAACACCCCCCCCCCCCCGTCTTGAACCCTGTAGTGTTAAGAAAACAAAGGGAAGATCCTGGGGGGAGGTGGCTGTTCCTGAGAGAGTGCCAGGACGTGGATGGTGGAAAGGCCTGGCACAGCTTATGTAAGAATTGCTGTGGGAATGAAAGGAGGCATCCTGTGTGAGGTGAGGCTGGAAAGCAGGGTTCGCAGGACCAACAGAAGGAACTGTCCTACTTAGCTTTAATTGCCAATATGGAACAGCCTAGAGTTGTCTGAGAGGCAAGCCTACACTGAGGGATTACCCAGAACAGACTAGAAGTTGGCATGTCTGCGGTTGGGGGAGGTGGGGATTTCCTTGATTGTTGATTGACAAAGGAGGATCCAGCCCACCGTGGGCGACTCATCCCTAGGCTCTACCTAGCTAAGTGTGAGCCTGAGAGTGTACCAGCAAGCAGTGTTTCTCCATGGTTTCTGCTTCAAGCTCCTGCCTGAGTTCCAGCTGTGACAACCCTCAGTGATGGCCTGTGACCTGGAAGTATAAGCCAAATAAGCCTCTTTCCTCTTAAGTTGGTTTTGGTGAGTGTTTTCTCGAAGTCACAGGAAGAAACTAGAACTCATTTTGGGAACTATGAGCCAAGATGGTAACTGAGACCCTGTGGATGGATTAGATTTCTGCTGCTGCCGCCGGAATTTTTATAATCAGCATTGAAGTGCTCCAAAGAGCACTGCAGTCCCTTTATGGTTAGCAGAGGACCAACTGCAGAGGACACTGCGTTAGCAGCTGTGTGTGTGTGTGTGTGTGTGTGAGAGAGAGAGAGAGAGAGAGAGAGAGAGAGAGAGAAGCTCATCAAACTTAAAGCAGCACAGAATAATCTGTGACTACAAAACAACGTTCAAATAAGCACACATTAATTTAACAAATTCAAAGAGCTTGTTATGCAGCAGATAGTTTTCTAGCACGAGGTTCATCAGACGGTGACCTTACTGAGTGTAAAAGCCGATTGCATAAGATGCTAAAGGCAGACACTGACGGGCTTAAAGAACTCTAAGTAAGGATTTAGTCCCGGGTTCATAGAGAGGATACCTGGATTGTTCATTCAGCGTTTTATGTCTTCTCTGAATGTCTTACTTGTGTCAGGACTGTTATAGGCACGAGAGCTTTAGCAGTCAACAAAACAAGCCAGAATCCTCGCTCTCACAGAGTTTATTCTTTGTTGGGGGAGAATACAAGAAGAGTTAAGAAAATCAAGAGATCCAGGCATAGTACCATAAGCCTTCCATCCCAGTAGTCAGGAGGCAGAGGCAGGAGGAGCTCTATGAGTTTGAGGTCAACTTGGCTTTACATGGAGACTCTCTCAAAACAAACCAACAACCAAAGAAAATTAAAATGAAATACTAAGACATTAAATGGTGGTGAGTGTCCTGGAGAAAACTAAGAGTAGTGTTCAGGGACTGAGGGCAGACTGCAGTACCAAAGACGCTCTTTAAGGAAGCTTTGATTTAAGAAGTAAGACATTTAAACAAGGCTTGAAGCCTATGAGGTAGGAGGCTCTGGGCATTGGTAGTTTAGGAGCCAATTTTTGAGGACAGTCCCAGAGGAAGAAGCTAACTTCCCCGCCAGGAGTCAAGGTGAATACAGGAAAAACGAAGGTCGAATCTGAGAAAAGGCAGAAGGTAAGGCAGCAAGTAGTGAAAGGCAGCACAGAATTTTAGAATTTTGCTTATATGTTACTCGGAATGTGAGCCACGGGGGAGCTCAAGGCAGACCCAGATACTCTGAGTTAGGAGCCTTCAGCTTAGCAGTGTGAATGTGGACTCCATGTCTTCCTTTCCCGTAAATTTCTTCCTTCATCTGTACAATAGTGGAGATGATTTCTAACTCGCGGGGGCGTCGTGATAATTAAATACGGTATGTGCAAAAACATTTAGCAGTTACTCGACGCAGAGTAGGCACGTTCTTTCTTTCCCTGTCTTCCTCCAGTTTCCTGGGCCTCCCACCTGGTGCTGGGAGGGAGAGGTAAGGGTGTACAAAGAGTGACATCACTTCAGAGAGCTAGTGTAACAGTTTCACGGGTGGCTGATGATGTGGGGGTGAGGACAGACAGTGGTGGGTGGGTGGGTGGGCAGTCTTTTGGGCGGGGGCCCTGGCTCTCCAGGCTTCAATTGATGGAATATTCTAGCAGGGGTGTCAGCGCAGTCTATAGGAATGCACGTTTATCCGCCTCCCTGTTTAACTCTGCGGTGGTAACTGAGTAATGAACGTCTGCTACCTCGCGTCCCGAGAGGTGTCCTCAGATCTGTCCTGTGGAGCAAGGGCACTTCCTACAAACCGGCTCTGCTTGTGGTATCCGGGCAGAAGGCCAGCCCGGTCTACACGGAGAGCCCCCGTCTCAAAACAAAAAGAGGAGGTCCGGGTTGGGAGGCTGCAGTCTGCAGACAGTCCGGCAAAGGGACCGCCGGGGCAGCGGCTGGGGTCCGCCCCCGGCGGCGCCCTGACGAGCGGCGGGGCGGGCGGCCGCGTGCGAGCGGTGAGGCGGGGCGATCGGAAGCGCGAGCCCCGGGTCGGGGGTCCGCGTGGGCCGCCGCCCTCTTCGGCACCACCCTCGCGCGCCCCCGCCCAGGCCCGTCCTGGCCGCCGCTTCCCGCCCTCGCTCTCCTCGGCTCCCAGCGCTGCGGCCGCTCCCTCCTGCGCGCGCGGCCGAGGTAGCGCGGAGCGCCGAGCGCATCGATCGGGCTTGCTCTGCGGCCTCCCGCCCGCCCGCCGGGCCCATCGCGCGCTCCGGGCTCGATTCGGCAGGCGGCGGCCGCGGCGGCTGAGGCGGCAGCGCTGTGGCGGCGGCTGAGACGGCAGGGGGAGGCGGTGGTGGCGGCGGCTCGGCCCGGAGTCCCGCTCCCGCGCCATTTCGGACCCGGAGCGAGCGCGGCGCGGGCCTGAAGGCGGCGGCGGGAGCCTGAGGCGCGGCGGCTCCGCGGCGCGGAGAGAGAGGTAGGGCGCGGGCGGCGCTCCTGGGCCGCTGCCCGGTGCGGAGCTCGGCGCGGCCGGGCGGGGCCGCGGCGCTGAATGAAGCCGGCTCGGGGCGGCGGGCGCGGGGCGCCGAGATCCGGCCGCCGCCGTTTCCCGGACGGGGCAGCTTTCCTTCCTCCTCCCGGCCGCGGCCGGCCCTCCGCGCTCGCCCGGCCTCCGCGCCCGGCCTCGGCTGCACCCGGCATCCGCGCTCGGTGCCCCGCGCCCGGCTCAACTTGTCCGGCGCGCGGGCTGTGCGGGGACGCCGCTTCCCCCGGCCGACCGGGCTGCGGGTCCCCGGGGAGGTCGGGGCCGGAGGTGCTCGGACCCGGTGGCCAGAGGGCGTCGTGGTTCTCGGGGGGTCGGGTGGGGGGAAGGAAAGGCGTCCGCGGCGGAGTTCGCGACCGCTCCCCTCCCCCACGCCCGTAAGGGCTGTGACATTGCCGCGGCCACAAAGGAGGAGGTGGAGGTAGGGATGGTGCTGGCAGAACAGGTGGCCCACGCCCTGCGCGGAAAGCCCGCGAGCGACCCGCACGGAAGCAGAAAAGTTAATGCGGCAAGTCCGAGTGGCTTTGTGTCGTGAAAACACAAGGGGACGGACGGCGAGAGCCGAGGCAGGGGGCTCTCCCGGATGGAGCGCTGGCAGCTCGGCTCACAGCGTCAAGTTTGAATCCTCTCCCTGCCCTCCTCTCCCCTCGGTCCTGCGGTTTGTCCCTTGCCCCTTCCAGACTCCAGAGTTCATTGTAGCATTCGGGGCGGACCACTGAAATCCTCTCAGGCCCGTGTAGCAGCCAGCCCAAGTCCTGAGCCAGCCTTGTTAAAGCTTGGTTATCCTCTGGGCAAGGACTTAAAAGTAGAATGGCATGCTGTGTTTGTCGTGGAAAAAAAAAATCATCTGAAAAGGAATGTTGAAGAAGTCTGCTCATAATAATCACTTCGGAATTGCCACCAGGTGACTGGTGTCACTCTTCCGCCAGGGGACCGACAAGATTGTTGACCCCCTCATGTGATAGACAATAGACATCAGATATGCTAGGTATCAATATATTTAATTTGAAACTGTAGCTATTCACAAGCATCTTTGGCTTTAAGAGATGGCGGATAGTAATTTAATTTTACACTTTTGTTAGAATCTAACCCCTTTACCACCTTTTGTAACTGGGATGGGGGGCGCACCCTTTCTGGCTTAAGGTTTTCCTTGAGTAAGACTTCTTCTTCTTTTTTTTTTTTCCTAGTGGATTTAAATATTACTAGGTTTTAAAACCTGACTCAAGAATTTTTATTTTCAGCAAAAGCTACTGTGTAGATGATTCAATAACTGTCCACAGTATACCCTAAATTAGCCAACATTTTAAGCTGTAGGACCCCTTTACACCTGTAAACAAATTATTGAGGGTCTCAAAAATCCTTTAGATTTGACATGCCAATATTTACTATATTAGAAGTAACTTTTTTTTTCAGTTTATTTAGAACTAGAAATAAAATGCCTGTTGGTAACAGGAATGCATTTTTAGTGGAAAAATAAACTTTTCTAGAACAAAGAATTAGAGTGGCTTTGTTTACACATTAGCAATCTGTTTAATTGTTTCATCATAGGAGTTAACTGTATCCTTTCATATCTTCATCTCATATCTGCATCTGCATTCTCTTTATTGTGATTATAGGGCCTAGAGACCAACTGTCGTTGTAATAGTAAGAATGCTAAAAAAACAATTGCTGTAAAAATAGTTCTAACCTCCTAATCCTGTTCCCTACCACACAAAGTTTTAGGGACCCAAAATTGCTCTTGTAAGCTAGCCACACTGTTTGCAGGAGGGAGGGGCGAAGGTCATATTTCCATGTGATTCTTTTCGTCTATCCCATTTGCCGTGGTCTACATTTGTTATAAACTTGAAGGCAAACAGGTGAGTTAGGTTAGTAATGGCTCACAGGATGGCCCCAGACAAGCAGCAAGGAAGGGTAGGAGGGGCAAAGTAGGGCAGGAGTTGGATGAAGGTCTGATAACAATGGTTTCTGACCTTGTAGTGCTGTTACTGAGGGCTTCAGGCACAGGGTGAGGAGGACAGTGCTTTGGAAAAACAAGCTGCATTTTTTTTTCCCTCTTGATGCCTGTGTGAACGATTCTTGGTCATCAATAAGTAGAATGTATTTTGTGTTTGTTTATACTATACATACTTACATTGACCTGGAACTACTTATTCTATAATAAATTGTGACTTTAGTGGTGTTCTTTTGCATCCATATGTCTCTTTATTTGTAATAATAAATGTTACACAAGGGAAAGGAGATAAAGTGAATATATTAATTTTATTTCAAAAATGTTTGAAATAGCAGACTAGAAAGTAAGTGTTCTATTTGGGGCTTTTAATTGTATAAATTGCCAACACTTAGTGAAGTGTATTATAAGCAAGGCAAAAAGTCACAGGGGTTACTGGGAAACGCTTTACATCCTTCACATTTTTTTTTCTTGCCAAAAATAGTCTTTATCTCTGAATTTCATTCAATTTTATTTTTTTATACGGAGGTATTGTTTTTAGTACTCAAAGGATTATATGTTATAATTGATCTGATCTTATTAATCTCATTCCCTACAGATAGTTTGTAGATTAAAATGTCATCAGATATTATCTTTATTTGCTTCGTTGGCTAAATTTTCTTTCCCCACAACAATTCAGTTTTGACACCAGTTTTGGCTTCCTATTTTGTTGCCTATCACTGCAGAACTGCCTTGATGGCTTTAAAACAGTTTTCTGCAACTGTTGACTCCAACAAAGATGCTATTGGGCTACCTAACTTCTAACTTTTAATATGTAGTCAACAAAGAATACTCCAAGGGTAGGTGTTGGGATAGCTGTCAACAAGCTCCTATGGGTGTGTCCCCTGGGTATAGAGTACTGAGCAGGATACTTGTGCTGAGTAAAGTCCTGATATATTCCTTTGAGAGCCATTAGCTGCTACAAAACAGTCATCTGGCTGTTAAGATCTTTATTAATAAGGGAAGTTATAAGTGATGTACAGGTTACTCTATGTACATCTGCGGTCACTGGATTCAGAATACAATAGAGTTTTACATACTACAAAGGTGAGTGTTAAAATATTGATAAAGTATTTGATAATCTTGTGTGAGACATGTTCTAATTTAGCTATATTTTATTATTTTTATTATAAGGCCTGCTGAAAATGACTGAGTATAAACTTGTGGTAGTTGGAGCTGGTGGCGTGGGCAAGAGTGCCTTGACGATACAGCTAATTCAGAATCACTTTGTGGATGAATATGATCCTACGATAGAGGTAAACATTGCTTTATATTCTGCATACAATTTGTAAAGGATGGCAGTCATCCTTTGTTTGAAAAAGATATCTCTTATCATTTTTATATTTATTAGGACGTTATATTGAAAGTTATTTCAGTTATATATGATGTCCTTCAGTTCCAGGGCTTTAAACTGAGTGTTAGGGAGCCATAGGTGCGAGGAACTCCACTTCTCTTGTGAGCACAGCACAGAGAATAAGGTCCAAGATGCTAACTGTGCTTTGTATTTGCATTCTGATAAATACATTTCATGATTTTGTAAGAGTTAAGAATACAGCTTTGCATTTGATCTGTTCCTCGAAAGCTTGTGTTATTGTTATTTTATGGGTTTGTTTTTTGTGTTGTTGTTTGGTGTCTTTTAGACAGAGTCTTACTATGTAGCCTTGGCTGTCCTAGAACTCATTATGTAGACTAGACTAGCTCTAAAGTCACAGAGATCCATCTACCTGCCTCTGCTGCCCAAATGCTGAGATTAAAGATGTGCACCACCAAGTACAGCGAAAGTTATTCTTTTGAAAACATTTTATTGTTGTGGATTTCTTGGACTGTTGATGCTATGAGGAGAGAGTTTTATTATGCTGGAATAATAGAGTCACTTGATAGCTGAGGTTTAAGCTTAATACAGTTTGATGAGCAACACCTTCGGGATTATTTTCAGACATTTTTTTTTCATTTCATAGAATCTTAACCAATTAAAGACCAATTGCTAAATAATTGAATAATACCTGGAAGAGATCTTAAAAATCAGGTAGCAGATCCTATTGCTGTCAGTAGGTTCAAGTTTTCCAGACCAAAGAAGAGTTTATTTAACCTCCAAGACAAGCAGGAAGGGCTATACTGTACTTGTTAACCTCATGTTTCACAAGGTAATTGTTCACATATTTATATGTAGTCTAAATATATTAAATTTAATATTAGTGAAGTGTGTAATAACTGTTACTTTGCCTTTGAAATAGCCTTATTGTTGGATTATTTCTCAGGCATCTTTACTGCAGTGTGAGGATATCCTGGTCTTCAGCTTTTTTCTTTGTTCTAATGTACCCCAAGGCAAGTCTTCAGGGAGCCGAGGCCAGCATGCAATCCTGATCTTCCACTCTTGAGGGACAGGGTTCCATTACAGGCCTGTGTGCCTCCATGTTCATTCCAGGCTGTGCTGGAGAGTCGAACCTAAGTCCTCTGGCTTGCTAGGCAATCCTCTACTCACCAGTCTACATCCTTACTTCATGTACCAATTTAAAAAGAAGACAAAGACTTGTGAAGAATTTTATAGTGCTTCAGAATCCATAGCTATGAAATCTCAAATAGGTCACAGTGCCCTGTTATGGGTCTCTGTTATGTCTTGAAGAAACATTGTGCTGTGTTGGGTTTTGAGGGCATTGGGGAGCTTGGGAAGATGGTTTATAACTTAGAACATTGAAGGTTGATTAAACAATTGTTAGGAAATGTCAAATAATTTTAGTAGTAGTATACCACCCTCCAAAAAGATAATACTTAAATATAAAAATGACTTTTATTTGCTTTCCAAGTTTAAAAAGTTACATTGGTGAAGTAGAGTTTCTGTGCACTGTTCTTCGTACATTTATTTTTGACAGGTCAGTTAGGTGCTGTAATGTAGTTCTGCTTTTTTCTTCAAGAAAGATCAAAAAGTTCATCCATTTTGACTGGTATTCTAAAAGCAAGATTACTTGACATGTTCTACCATTTAAATCTCATGTAAAAGGAAGTTTTAATAGAATGCATGTGAAATGTGGAAGTTTTCCTGGGATTTGGAAGATGCTTTCAGCAGAAGTAACCTCCATTTTCCTTGAAAATCTGAGGGGTTCCATTGTGCTTTCTCCTGTTGGGTCAGAAAGCATCCTGAATGTGTACAGCCTGAAGTCAGAACTGTGGGAGCATGGTGAGACAGAGCAGAGGGCGCCGTCTGCTCACACTTGCTAAGATGTAGTATATAATAGAGACCTCGAAGTGCGTGATGATAAGGACGGTAGAGAAGTTCACATTTACATTTCTGACCCTGATGAGGATTTCTGCCAGACCAGACGACGTGACTCTGGGAAGCACGGATAACCTCTGAACTTTGACCCTGACATTGCCCCGGGTAGTTTAGCAGCTGGAGAAAAGTCTATATCTTATCTCACAATCTGTGGGAAGTCTGAGGAAACTGACATGGTCCTTTCTTGGTGTGGTTCACCTATAAGAAGGCAAAAGAGCGAGAAAGATTTGATTGACTAAAAATGCCAACTTCCTACAAGTACAAAAAGTTTCAATTAATGAAAAATGTCAGAGAGAAAATGAGAGCGTGGAGCCGGGTCTGGGGGCAGGTACTACTTGATACTAGGAGGCAAAAGATTTCCAGTTTAAGACCTGCCTGGGTTACAGAGCAGGTGCAAGGACAGTCTACACAACTTAGTGACACCCTATCTTAAAGCAAAAAATAAAGAAAGGGCTAGGGGTATAACGCCCATTGGGAAAGTGCTTGTACTTTGGGATTCCATTAATTTCTTACATTAAAAAAATGGCAAGAAACTTTTTTAAGATTTAAATGATAATACCATCACATTTTTTTCAGTGATTTACAATTTGTGAAATATTATCCTAGGAGGTGAAAGAGAGCAGTCATTGCTTCTTTGATTTTTATCTATAAACTTGTGAGATGTTCTAACTTGCCTAAAGATATTTAGCTAGCTAGTGGAAAGACTGAATTTAAACTTTGTGAAACAAGTGATATTTCCACTATGGTAAGAGAAAAAGTAGCTGTTTTTCAAGCTAAGAAAATATTTAATAATCTTCTAGACGGCATCAGTATACTGTAAGTTGAATTTACTAATGACTGCTTGATGGCAGATACATAATAGAAAACGACCATAGAACATGTTAGTATTGGAGATAGTTTGTATGTCAATCACCTTGACTTCTGACATTTTTTATATTTTATGAAGTGCACTAGTTTTGCAGTTAACTTGTTAGTGGGACATGGTTATTACATTCTCATATGAAGTCCTCACACAACTCAACTGGAAATAGTAAAGAAAGAACTAGCCCAGAATATCCGCAGTTCTGAGTTAAAGCCTTTTGTGTTACATACAGTTTTAAACATTGCTCAGATTATCAAATTTATGTCCCAGTGATAACTTTTATTTTGATTTTCAAGTATGACATAGATTTAAAGTTCACTTTTTGTAAAGTTAGGTTACTGTGCATTATGTTATCATACCCTAAAGTTGAATTAAAACTTTTTGACTTGAAAATAGTCTTATTTTAAAAGCAGTTTTGTTTGAAGAAAACTTTCCTCTAAAGCTGTGGCCAGTCTTCTCCCTTTTTTGAGCGCCCTCTACTGGTAACTTACTTGCTTTTGTAATAAATAACAATGAAAACTCAAGGCTGTTTTGTGTATTTTTAACCTGTAGATGTAACCTGTGATTTTTATCAGTTTATAAATCTTATCAGTTTACACAGGAGTCTTACGTGTAATTACTATGTAAGAGAAAAGGAGGCAGTGTGGGAGAGCACAGGACACATTTCCTCTGTGAACACGGGCTGGGCTGAGCTTGTGGGGTGAGGGGCGAAAAGCTGCAGTACACCCTGAATTTGCTTGCTTGTCCTTTTAGTATCCTTGTTTTCAAAATTCTGATAATATTTGAGTTTATTCAGATTTTTTAAACTATGATAGTTTTATCTCTTAAGGAGTAGTGCATATTTTATTTTCTCTAATCTTATATTTTATGAGAACAAGATCTTTAATCTTTGTTCACCAATCAAAATAGAAATCTTGAACTGTCAGCTTTAGCTTGATTTTCCTGGGACTTGTCCAGCCCTGTTGTGTTTGACATGGTAACTAGTAACTAGACCTGCAGAGGCCGTTGTAAGTACAGACGTCTAGTGACTGTGAGGGTGAGGCGTGCTTCTGGGCGTCACTGGCAGCCGGTGCTCTGGACCCCATCCTTGGTCAGTAGTAGATGCTGGGTGGACCGTACAGAAGAATTACATGAACCTGTTTAACTCTTCTCATTTGTGAAGGGTTTTGTTGTTTTAATCCTCATCTGCATATTTTTCCCATGTAAGATTATATCCATTTTTGTCACTGAGAGAACAGTGGCTTGGAGTAGACGGGAGCTGCAGTAGTTTGATGAGTCCATACCACGAGGAAGGAAAGTTCTACAGGCGTCAGGAACTAAAGACTCCAGGCCTGCCTCTGGCTTAGATTTCTGTTCTGAGCACCGAGACCTGCACATCAGGTTGTTTTTAGGTTGGGAATTAAAATTACACTTAATGTTCTCTACACTTCATTCCTCTTTGTCTTTAAAACATTGAGCTGAAAATTGCATAGAACAAAATAACATTTTAAAGTATGCAGCCAGTGATGGCTAGTTCTTTCTTAAGGTTACAACCACCACTGCTATCTAGTTCCAGGATAGTTTCATCACACCAGAAAGGCGCTCCATACCCGTTAGTGGTCACTCCCCAAACCTTTCTCCTTTTAGCCCCTGGCGCCACTACCTGCTGTCTGCTTGCATGTGCATATTCTTGATATGTCATTTAAGGGGATCATATATCATCCAGTGTAGCTTTTGTGTCTGATATTTATTTATCTAGTCTCATGACAGGGTTTCTCTTTATAGCTCTGACTGTCTTGAAACTTGCTTTGTAGACCATGCTGGTCTCAAATTCTGCCTTCCAAGTGCTGGGATTAAAGGTGTGTGCCACTGCTGCTTGGCCTAGTGTTTGATTTTTACATATGTTTCCAGGGTTTGTCCTTGTCACAATATTAGCACTTCATTCCTTTTTATGGGAAGATAGTTCTCTCTTGTAGACATTCCATATTTTGTGCATCCATTCATCAGTTAGTGACATTTGGGTTCTTCTTTAGGACTCTTTTGAATAATAATTTTGTTGTGCATTTATGTACATAGTTTTTGTGTGACTATCTCCTTCAGTTCCTTTGAGATTGGCCAGGTTTAACTTTTTGAGGAGCAGCCAA